GAGAATAACATATGTGTAAGAAATAGCACACCACCCAGGATACATCATATGATAGACACAGTCATTGTCTGCGACTTGTTTATAAGCAATACAATTTTAAAGACAACGTAGAAGTCCCATAATTTGGATCAACGGATTGCTGTTAGCAGTCTTACGGTGATGTATGGTAATGAATTTGCCTTTTCTTTGACCCAAGGCTGTGATTGTTTTCGATTTATTTACTGATGTCACTGATCATGCATCTGTAACATGTCACGCTGTTTTCTTTATGCTGTTTCGAAATCATCCTAGACATAATATCTGTAGTACGATCTTTAGCAAAATATTGGAATTTACAGTTTTAGTTGTAATTAATAAGGAAGGCTAGGATGACATAAATGTCAAATTTATCATGTGCATAGCATTAGTTGACGAGTATAAAAATAGTCCACTTATCGAAAATTTAACTTTAATTTTTCTCACCACAAGAAAGACCACACTACAATTAGTGTTCTTGTGAAGTTTGAGGCTATTTTGTTGAATAATCACCGAGTAGGAGTTTTTTGAAATTTGTAAAAATAAGAGATCAGAGAATGTATGATTTTTGGGGAAGCTGCTCAAGTGCTCCATACATTCTCTGTAATTTTTTCGAGATTAACGCTTGCAACTCTGTAATTAAGTATTAATGCGAATACGCTCAAACTCTACAACTATACTAATTTTAGTTTGCTCTTTCTTCTCCTGGGGTCTGTTTTTTTCATTGCTTCAAACGGTATCGAGTTTATGACTAGTCACCAGAGTCCAATCGTGATGGAGATCAAGGCGCATCTTATTAGGTTTTCAACATTTTTACATTGAAATTTCAACATATTTTATGAAATACTGTTTGATCCTTCACTTTGCGGAAATCAATTCAAGTTCGTCTATTTGCTTTGTATGCCATATTACAAACCATTTTCTAACCAAAACTGTTAATCAATTCAACTTTTACTACCGAGACGCCATATTGGAAATCATGTAATGACAAGAATTAATTGTGTTAACTCAATCACGTGGTGGTTACATTAGAATATTTTTGTGGGTTTTGGTAATCGCACTTGCTTAGCGATGTTTGGTGCGTGGGTAAGCCTTTTCGTAGAGGTTCATACGTTGATGATGAGCTCGTAGATTTTTGAAGTGTTGCTGGGTTGAGCTGTTGATAATGTTCTTGATCTTTGCAGGTGTTTTATCAGGCTTTGGTTTTTCTTTGCTTTGCAATGGATGACGTGATGGCGAAGTTAAAGGACCCATTCCAATGGCATCTGCATTCTGTATAAATATTTTGTGTGTATTTTGTAAGCCTACTTTTTGTAGAAATATCAATCTCAATTTGAGTCCTTTGTATAGTATATTTTTTTATTTATGCAAATCTGTTATATTTAATACTTACTTCATACACTTGTTCGTTTTTTCTAAAAAAAGAAAGAATAACATATGTTAGTATTAAAGTTGTATTTTAAGCATCTATCAAGATATTCCCAAATTCAAATAATCTTAAAAGGAGGATATGATATCAACATCACTAGTCGTGATTTATGGAGGATATTGCATGGGCGCGCGGAGATACGGATTTTATCTTCGAGTGTTGAAAAGATCTCTCACAAGTGAGCGTAGCGAACGAATGAGAGATTTTCAACACGAGAAGATAAAAATCGTATCTCCAAGCGACCATGTAATATTCTGTTTATCATATAATTGCACATGAAAGCAAATTAATATGTCGTAAAATATATTTTTTCCAATTTTCACTATATAGAGAAACCTCGAATGTGTTATTTTCACTGGTGAAAATAACACAACATGTTATTTTCACTACTGAAAATATCAATTTTACGAAATGAAGAAATATAGGTATTTCATAGATAATCATATGATAAACATAAATAAGTCCTATTAAGAAATAAAAGAGAAGAATTGGAAAATATAAAAATAACCGATCACATCAAGGCAAAAAATATATTTATATAACAGAAATAAAAAAGTAATAAAAGATTGAAAAAGAAACCACAAGAAAAAAATKAAAATGAWTTTCCGATTTTTTTGAACKGTAATCCTGATGTTTTTCCTTATTTAAATTAAGTACTTACTGTTCTTGYTTTGTGTTTTGTGAGTTTGTCATCCTATGTTTCCAGACGATGAAAGCCAGAAGTATGGCGATAGTTATCAAAGAAAGAGCCAAGAATGCGGCAAGAATACCAATTTTAGTATCAGAGACTAGAATAGATAATAAAAGGACAGCTATTTTAAAAATAGGTTTACTTCTCAATGCATCTTTTAAAATTGGCCTCCATTACCCAACTGAACAAGTGTTTTGTAATACTTGCTCTTATTGATTAGATGTTTAGAACATGAAAATTAAAAGTCTTACCTGAACTGTGCTGCGATGATGCAGTACATGACTCTCTTTTCGGTTCTATAGAAAAAAACAAATCATATATAATTTGTAGATACTGTATTTGAAGAAATTAAGTATTGTCACCAGTAATTAATTATACAATTATACACTTCCATCAATACATTCAAAGGTTGAATAACATTTTTGAGGTAGTCTTACTTGATCATGCACATATTATAGCTGAGCGAAGCTTTCCTAAACTCGAATGTTACCGAGTTACATAGTTATAGTTATAGATTTTCCATGTTTTTTTACAAATATCAATGTACCTTGTATAGTTGTGTTGAACACTTTGATAGAGGCATCACCATATCCTGCAACATTTCCAGCCAGCACTGTAATTTTGTACTCGGTTTGTTCCTGTAGGCCTGTGATTTCCTGATAGGCCAATAGTTTTGATGAATTTATGTGAAATGTTTTCGAATCAATGAGCACCTTGTATGTAGTGACTGGACTTCCACCATTGTCTGCTGGTCTTGCCCAGATAATTGTGACTGATGATGACCGGATAGATGCGACTTCAATAAGTTGTATTCTACCAGGAGGAACTAAAGAAACACAAGAGTAATATACTAAGATAATACTACACAATCTTTAATTTTGCTTGATTACTCTATGCAACGTTTTTCTAAAAAACTTCAATGACCCTTTGGACTTATATGTTCAACAACATTCCTTTTAATTTCAACTTACAGAGACGAGTAACTGATATGTTGTGGTGATCACTCCCGGCAATATTTGTTGCTTCACATCTGTACATCCCATAGTCATGATTATTGTTTCCAGTCAACACTGTCACCTCGCTTCCATTGGAAATACTACGGACATTAGTAGTAATAGTATCACCATTGGGCTTGTACCATGTCCA